ATCTTTCATTTGACAGAAGCGTTTTTAAATGTGGGGAACGTATACGTAAGATCAATGAATGTGCCTTCAACTCTTTCCTATATAATTGTATGAAAAACAGGTGTACCTTAGTTGGGTTGCGTTAAATTCTTGTACATATATCGGAAAGCATAAAATGGTGTCCACGTGATTGTGGAATTCCGAGATTGGCGCATTCTCGAAGTTTAAAAGCATGAGACTGATAAGTCAGATCTGTGCGATATTTTTTTTTTCCAATTCCATCTATTCGTGCCGTACTACCATGTCTAACGTCTATGAAGCAATCAAACTGCTTGATTCAAAAGAGGAAAAAACTGCACTACGAGCCCTCTTCACTAAAGATCCAGAAATAGAAGCTAGAGCGGGACGCGTCCTTCCTACATGTGAGGATAATGGAGAGATAGTTGCTTATTTCAAAGAACTCTTAAAGCCTGGTATGTTCTCTTTTAATCGTGTCATATTCACCAATAATACCGAATACTTACTTGTGCTTTTCTTTCCTGCTTCTTATCGTTAAACCTGCCCAAAAAACACATTCGCGTTATGTAGAAGCACCCGTTGCAACCGGTAAGATGAATCGTAATAAGTTTTTAATGCGAGTGAATGTGACCTTGCTGGATTTTTCGTTAACGTCTTTATTATGTGACATCGAATACATAATCTTGTGCTTGTTTTATTTACTACTCCTTATCCTCAAACCCCCAAAACACAGAAGTTAGGAAAAAAAATCAATGATGCTTTTCCTGAAGGTATGTATTAAGCAATTTCTGCAAAAAACTCGTCGTTCTTATGCTTAGGCTGATCGGATGTACTATTTATATGCTAGGGTTGCCATATGTGAAACCAGAACCTTTGCTTTACACTTCTGGTGCTAATTGGGAATATCAACCTCATCCATCTTTGAAACACATTTTGCGAAGGGAGCTTAAAAATCATTACACAAATTTTCTTTCAGGGTGTTTTGACAAAATGATGTTTCCATTATACCTCTTCCTTTCTGGAGCTGGCACCGGAAAATCTCGAAACGCTAATGAATTTCATCAGACGGCAATCACTTGTTTGTCAGAGCCAGAAGATATGGAGCTGTTGACCAAGATCAAAGAAGCTTGGGTATTCCATGTCAGCTATGAAAATGGCACCACCTTACGATCGGAAGAATCCTCCCCTTATCTTGCCATTGGTACTCGAATGCTACTTCAACTTCTTGGAGAGAAAATGGGGCTTTATAAAATTATCCAAACATACGAGCCAGCAGATCCGGAGGATGTTATGACATTGGTTGCCAAATATCATAACCGAGACTTAAAAGACATTACGGTTATTTTGGTTGTTGACGGCATGCAACAGCTTATGGACAACAAAGATGATGGTTTAAAGTCAGAGTCTCAGTTTTACCAGACTCTGTCAAGCATTGCAGACTTTGCATTTAAGGGCATTTTTGTGATACCCGTTTGTACTTCAACAATAACTGGCCCTGTTGAGGGTACATTGAAATACTCGCATCGCAAACGTGTATACCTACCTGTCGCTTCTCTGGAACCGCCAAACTATCGCCAAGACCATAGGTTGGTTCCGGTCTTTAAAGATGATGAGATTACTAAGACTCTTGTGGAAGACTGTGGAGGGCATGGAAGGGCTCTGGAAGCACTGAAAGATTGCTTGGCCGGTCGTAATATTGAAGAATGTAACCTCAATACTTTGATGAACGATCTGCGTCTTAAGCTTACTGAAAGATATCGTGATGCTATTTTTGGTTCCGTGGACGACGCCAGGCCCATTGCACGAGCAATATTAACTCGACGTCTCTTAAGTTTATATAAAAATGTTCCTAAAACCAACAAAACACCAGACCAATTTGCTGGGAGTGGATTGATTCGATTCGAACAAATAAATTCAGATAGTCCACAGGGATACCTCACTGCACCGTACGTCTGGCTCTGGATATTTGTAGAGGTATCTAATAACCAAGCAGATCCAATACTTCGAGATTGGCAATTTGCTGATTATGGAGAACAAAGAGCGCTTATTGATCCTGTGTCGTCATTGCAAGCAAAGTCATGGCAGAGTTTTGAAAAATTTGTCGCATCATTTCGTTGTTTAAAGTCAGCTGTGATTGAAGAAGATGAGCTAACAACGATCTCGGAGGTTCACGCGGGAGCACGTTTGAATGGCGACATCCAATTTAAAAATCACAATCTGCAACTTGAGATTGCTAGAAACCAAACAGATACAAAATCTGAAAATCTCACTGCAAGAGAATGGAATGTTGATTGCTATCATTCTACTGTTGATGTCCGGAGATTTAAACATTGTATTATTAACGCTCCATCTTCGCCATCCGGGGATGCCTTCCTTTCATTAGATCAGCCGGGTACCGAGAGTCCAAACGAAATTCACCAATACAAACAGAGACAAAAACCGATCAGTCAAGTGGCATATGAAAAAGAACATAAAAAATCTGCATCGGAAAATGATTTTTTCATCCTCTTTACGACTGCAGAAAATTGCTATATCGAACTTCCGAAACGCTCTGGGATTGTAGATGGAAAAGTTTTTAGGGACTATTTTGGACCATTTGCTGGCAGAGCATATAAGTCCATTATGGCCAAGTTCGCACCCCCTATCTGTCATAAAGTCAAGAATATCCATACCACTTCTCACAGGAAACTTTGCAGAGTGAATCAAATTAACAAAGAACGAGCAAAAACGATCATATTGATAAGACCATTTGAAAATATCGTGGTCGCAAATGTAAAACCAAAAATACCAATGAATTTTTATTTCCGAAAGGGCCTTCACACGGTTTCTTGCATTCTCCCTCGATTCATTTAATTAAATAAGTAAAATCAAAAAATACCAACATTTCATCGTGATTGCTTGTTTCCTGGTAAAGTGATCGACGTTCCATTTCAGAATGCACACGTGATTTTTACTACCTATTCGAAGTTTTGAATAAATGTGCTTTCTATATAAATCAATGGAAAACGTCCAATCCAAAATCGATTCGTTGAGAGAATTAAATGATAAGCTCTTAGCTGAAATTTCTGTGCTTAGAAAGGAGAATTCTGATGTCAAGGCCAAGAATACAAAATTAAAACAAGATAAAGAAGAAATCGAGGCCAGGTTTGTAAAACTAGAGCAAAGCGACAAAGAAAATGATCTTAGAGCTGAAATAGCAAAATTAAGGTATGACATCGAGGAAATCAAACTACAAACCCGAGTTAATACTAACGAATGGGATATGCCTTCTTTTGCAGAGCAAAGCCACTTACGTGGCACAGAAGATATTTCACACTCATCAACCAGTTCACCATTACCAGTAACCTCCCCATCGCCTATTCAGAATAGCTCCAAACTGATAGCAAATACAACTGCTGTCATATCTAAGATCGAACCTATATCATTGGAAGATAAGGTGATCAATGAATTCCTGGATGAGGTGCATAAAGAAAAGGTAAGTAATGAAATAAGAGAAAGAAATAGAGAAAAAAAGCTTCAAGAAGAGTCAAAGACTTGTTGCAAATCATCCTCAGCTATTCAAGACCTATCATATAGTAGTACAGAAACCATTCTCTCAAAAAATGATCAAGATGAAAATTTATGTGATATGAAAACTGTTCCCTCGAGAAACGATCGAGATGGAAATTTATCATGTGGTACAAAGACTATTCGTTCGGAAAACAATCAAACTGAAATATCTGAATTAATTATCATCATACATACATAACGGAAACATACATACAACAAAATGTCTGAAGTTACCTCAAGTTCCTCTACTGAGCTCACCACCTTTGCTTCCGTTGCAGCCCTACCTCCGAAAGCTACTACAGCTGCTGAAAGAGGCAAAACGCCTTCTAACTATTTCAAAGAAATACCTTCTAACCGTCCTCTTGTCAACCCAGATGGCGCCTTCTCAATCTTCTCCTGGAAAAACGTTAAATCTAATCTCAAACAAAAACCATTCATTGGCCGTACTCCTCCTCCTTCCTCCTCACCTAATAGTCTTTTCTTTGATCGGCAAAGCAATCCGTTCATTTCTGACAAAGCTATTCTCTCGCACTTCTGATCTGATCTCTTAGGCTTAGATTTTGACCCAATCAATCGATTCTTAGAACTTACCTTCAAGAATGAAGAAGCCTATCAGAAATATCTCAACGAACCTTCTTTTATCATCAATGAAAAAACCTACCATCTCTCCCTCCCTAAAGGAGTTTTTCGATCCATTCTCGTAATCCACCTCCATGGTCTCCCCATTACTGAACCATCTGTCATTGAAAAATCCATTCACTCCTGTCTCTCCCCTCATGTTGAGTCCATTGTTGAAATATCTCCTGTCACCATAGGTGATACTGGTTTACTTACCAAAAAATGGGATGTTATTGTTAAACCTAACCCAAATCATTTTATTCCAGTTTGCATGAAAATTCTTGACAAGAATATTGTCCTCACATGGCAATCATCACCAGATGTTTGCATTCATTGTCACACTACCTCACACAATTCTCAAAATTGCCAAAAGAAGCCTCAACCTCGTCCAAACTTTAAAAATACATATGCTTACAACAACCAATTGACTACCTCTACACAAAAGCATCCTCCTAATAACACCAATGATAATCCCATCTCTACTAACCTTAACATTTCACAGAATCATTCAAATTCCAATCATCAACAAAAACTAACCTCTATTACTATGTCTGATATTCATGTTCAGTCTATGTCCAACTCATCACCTTCCTTATATAACTCTATGCACAACCCAAATGCACAAAATAATATGGATGTTGACCAATACAACCAACAAAACCAGTCTCATGATTCTCAGTTAACCTTACCTTCCAGTAACACTATCAATAATTCTGCAAGTCCTACAGAATCCCTAACTTCTCCATCTAACAATTATCTGTCAGAATCTGACCCTAATACTAATACTGATATCAATATGACAGATAGTTCCAACATAGTTACTAATATTGATGATACTGAAGGAACCCAAGATTGGACACCAGTTTCACACAAAAAATTACGCACCTCTTCTCCCTCAACAAATAAACCCTACACTCGAGCCTCTTCCTCATCCAAAAAATAATAACATACATGAGCAATATGAATAACAAAACTATATGTCCAACAATTATAAGTTTGAATACTAATTCTCTTTCCTCTCATCATAAGCTCTCTCTTATTCTTAAACACCTCTCTAAGTTTAACCCTCAAATTATCTGTTTACAGGAAACATTCACTTCCAAACAATCTATGCCTACCAAATTTGAAATATCCCTCCTCAAATCTAAATGGTCTGGACATTCATACTTTACAAAACATTTAGCAATCTTAATTCATCCACAATTTTCATCAAAAATTCTTTATATATCCAATGATGAACGTATTATGGACATCCAAATAACCTCCCCTTCTTCCATATCTTATATAATTAGAAACACTTATGCTCCTCCTTTTCATAACTCCTCTTTTTGGCAAACTTTCCCCCCTCTCCCTTCTCTCTCCCCTAATATCATATGCACTGGTGACTTTAACACTACAACACAATTACGTGACCGCTGGTCTTCTTTCCCTTATTCTGTCAACTCTCCAAACTTATCTCTTCTTCCTCTCAAATTCCCTAACCTAATTGACCTTGCAGGATCTCTCCCAGGCCCTCCTAAATATACTCTTATTCGCTCAACTTCTCAAGGCACATCTAAATCAAGAATAGACTATATTCTTATTTCTCCTTCTCTTTTCTCGTCCACTCTTGATTCTTTTACACATTATATGAATGCTCTTTCAGATCACCATGCTGTTATTCTTAAACCTCACTCCCCAAAAAATAATTCTCTATGGCATATGAATACCTCTCACCTCTCATACTCCTATATACAGTCTGATATATCTCTCCTTCTCTCAAACTCTAACAACATCCATTCCTGGGATTCCTGTAAGGCAAGAATCAAAAACTATTACAAATCAATTTCTCAATCCATTGCTAAGAAAAACAAGTCAGCCATTCAAAACATTTCAAACCGAATCTCTAAACTTCAACAATCCTCCTCCCCAAACTCACATCTTATTTCAACTCTTCAAAATAAGCTTCTTTACTTACAAAGACAAAACATTTCCTACTTAGCTTTAAGATCTCGCATCAATTGGTATGAAAAAGGTGAAACCCCTTCTAAGTATTTCTATCAACGTTTTAAGCAAACACAATGTTCAACAGATATCAATACTTTATACATTCCTTCCTCTTCCTCTTCCTCCTTTCAAATAACACATGACTCTTCTAACATTCTTAACCATTGCAGCTCTCACTTTCAAAAATTATGGTCCTCTCCACCTTCCCTTCCCTCTCACTCACATCTATTTAATTACATTCCTAAACTCTCACCTTCCTCTATTAACTCCCTCTCTTCTCCAATTACACCTGATGAACTAATTGAAGCCATCAAATCTAAGAAAGACAATTCCTCCCCTGGTCCTGATGGTCTCCCATACAAATTTTATAAGATATTTTCCCCTCAAATAATCAAAATTTTTATCCCTCTTTTCAATGCTATTGCTAACAACTCTCTCCCTCCTCCCTCTTCATGGTCTCAAACCATCATCACTCTTCTCCATAAGAAAAACAAAGACCCTCGTTATGTTTCTAACCTTCGTCCTATTGTTCTTTCAAACACTGACATTAAACTTCTATCTACTATCCTTGCTAACCGTTTTCAATCTTTTGCATCTACACTTATTCACCCCCACCAAACTGGTTTTATGAAACATCGCTCAATATATGACACTATCCTTGATATTAACTCATACCTTTCTCATAATTCTCTACCTCCTGAATCTTTCATTCTCTCAGTTGACTGGTCAAAAGCCTATGACAGAGTCTCTCACTCCTGGCTTGATTTTGTTCTCTCTTCTTCTCTCTTTCCACCCTCCTTTATTCGCCTAACACAATGTTCATACCACAACAGAACCTCTCAAATTAAAATCAAACATTCTCTTTCATCCCCCTTCTCTATCTTACAAGGTGTCCCTCAAGGTGACCCTTTCTCTCCCCTCCTTTTCAATCTCTCCATTGAACCTCTCTTTAATCTCATCCGTTCTGTTCCCTCTCTCTCTTTACGTGCATATGCTGATGATACTAACATTATTGGACTATCTCTCTCTGACCTTAATCTTCTACTCTCTTCCATTTTCCCTCTCTATAAATACACTACTGATGGTGAAATTGACATTTCAAAATCTTCTCTTACCCCTATTTACCCTTCCACTTTCCCCTCTTTTCTTCTCCCTAACAACTCTCCTCCTATTTCTCTTTCTCTCTCAACCCTTGGTTTTACTCTACCCTTATCTCCTTCCAACACCCTAACTTTATGGGACAATCTACTCTCAAAACTTAAGTCTCATGCCTCCCTACTCTCCTCTCGTAATCTTTCACTAAAAGGCAGAGTTCTTATATCTAAGTCTCTCCTTCTCTCAAAACTATGGTACTATGCTACTATATGTCCTCCACCTAAACAATTTATAAAATCTATACAAACTCTTATCAACAACTTCATATGGAACTCCTCAAAAACACACCCATCTTTTCAAGTTTCCTCCCTCCCCACCAAATTAGGTGGCATTTCCATTCCAGACTTTAAGCTAGAACTAAAAATACGACATACAAAACTTATATCAAAAACTTTCAATCCTCACCCTCCTTTTTGGACATCTATACTTGATCAATACTGCCTTGAACACTACCATAAATCCCTTACATCTTGTCTAATTCTTAAACAAGGCATGAAACGTCCCATTGAACCTCTTAAATCATTCCTTAACTCCTCAAAACTCCTTGAAAACCTCTCACCATCTATCATACTCTCTTCTCCAACTCTCCCTGAACTTCGATCCATTTTAACTATTCCACCCTCTCCTCC